GTTGTGCTGCACATTATCTGACACGGTACCATGTGGGCTCTGGGAGGATCAGGGTGATCAGTTCAGCTTTCCAACCCGAGCTGTGGCTTTGTGGTGGCACTGATGGAACAAACAACCTTTCTTCCTACTTTCAAAGCATCTCCTGCTCCTGGCATATTGTAAAGGGTTGACCCTCTGGGCAGCCCTTGTGGGCCTTAACACTCCTGATGCATCACAGGAACGATATGAAATGAAATAAAGTTCCCAGTAGCAACAACCCAGAGGGCTGAGGAGAAATCCTGACATGGGAATGAAGGCACGTCCCAAAAAAACCCCAACACTGCTTTATTTTTTTCCCCATGCTAATTGTTTGAAAACGTTTCTTGGTACTTTTATTCCTCCCACTCCTGGCACTTCCAGAAACCTGGAAATCCCGTGTTCCTGCAGGATTTGGTGACATCCACCTGCAATTCTTCCCTACCATTCCCCTCTGGGCTGCAGGGTGTGGGTGGCAGCAGCATCCCTGCAGTGCCCAGCAGCTGCAGGACCCAGCAGTGTGGGTACAGAGCCCCCCAGGACCCCCAGCTTTCCCTGCCCACAGCTTCCCATGGGAAGTGCTGACCTTACCTGGCTGCTTTGACACCAGAGTTCTGGGCTTCACCTCGCACGTTGGGGAAGAAAGAACTGGGTTTTTCTTTCTTTATGGAGAAATCCTGGCCTGGGGAGGGAGAAGCTGCAAGCCAAGCGTCCTGCCCTGGCCCCAGCCAGGCACAGCTTTATGGCTCAGCTTTGCCTCCCCAGTTGGAAAGGTCGGGGCTGGATATTCAGCACAGCCTGGGTGAACTGGTGGGACACAAATTGATACACACACCCCCCAAAAAAAAAACAACAACCCCAGCCCCACTGACTCCTGCAAAGTCCTGCCGAGCTTAAAGGAGATGGGTGATGCTAAGACTTGCTCCCCTTCTTTCCAGGAGCCTTTCCCTGCCCCTTTTCCATACCCCAACTCTCTCTTCCCATTGCTGATGACCCTCCCAGTGCTGCTCCCCCAGCGTGAGGGGGTGCAGAGCCCTGGGGGGGCTGCAGGGGCTGAGCCCACCCCTCCCTGGGCTGCAGGAATGTCCCACCGTGCTGATAAGAGTTTAATTATCGATGCAAAAGGCGTCGTTGCACGGGGGGGAGGAGGGGGGGGGCCTTGCTGCAGATCTTGGGAGGCCTTTGAAGTTGGGATGGAGAGGAACTGAAGCCCAGGGGAACAGGGCTGATCCCACTGACCCTTTCTCCTCACACCTGCACTACAAAGCCCCTTCCTGGGAGGGGGACGGTGCAGTAATTGGAGTGAGTGGGTTAGCAGTGGGTTAACAATTAGCAGGGGAGCTCAGAGCCCTCCTTGGTCCCCCACTGCTCTTCCAGAGGCTGGGGCTCAGCACATCCCCCAGCTTGTCACCCCAGGGCTTGTCCCACTATCCCCTCCATTCATCCCCAGAGGGGGGTAAGGGTCTGCAGGCTCCCATAGCACTGCTCCTGAGCCTGGGATGCTTGGATGTAGGTCCTCAAGGTGCCCACATCTCTGTAGGGATGCAAGATTATCCCTGCAGGAGCCGTGGCCACCGTGTGGGTGCTGGGGAGGGTTTCTTGCTCTTTATAGATACATGGCAAGAGGTACATGGACCCAGGTAAAATGCACATCCTTTGGCTGCTGGTCCCTGCCTGGGCTTGCTCACTCATCCCCATTTAGAATTTGGTCGATGAGATGGATATAGATATGGATAGAGATATAAAAATGAAGATGTAGGTATAAATGTTATGTCTACATATAGATCATATAGCTACACATGCACATTCACCTCATCTCTGACTCCTGCCTAACCTGCACCTGTGAGATTGCAACGTGCACTGCTCACCCAGCATGACATGATGCAAGGGTGTAAAGGAGGAAGCAGGTTCTGCCTTGCATGAGGCTCATCTTGGTGCTGGGGAAGGAACCTGCTGCCTTCTAGGTGCTTCCATTCCAACGGGCAATCAGGCTTGACAGCTTCTCCGCCGGCGCGAGAATTTCCCCTGACACCTCCCGGTGCTTTGGCTCAATCCCCCGAGTCCAGGCCGAGGCACAGAATAGGGGAGACACAAAATGGTGCTCGGGAGAACAAAATGGAGCTCCCCGTTTGAGCCTGATGCGTGCAGACAGCCCATAACATCAAACAGAATTGCCCAGCTGCACGAGAGAGGGTGTCCCAAACTGGCACGTTTCTGAGAAGCAGCTCAGCTGAAAAGGGGTCCTTTGTGGTGGTGGCATCAGGGGTGGGCTCGCTCTGAGCATCACCCTGGAGAGGCACGGGGTCCCCTGAGAGGGGCTGGATGTTGTTGGAGGTGACGTGGGGGGTTCCCTTCAGTGCTGCTCTGCAGCCCTGTGGGCAGCTGGGTTTTGGGTGTATCGACCCCTCCGTGTCCCAGCTCGGCGTGGAGCAGGGAGGTGGGTGCCATGAGATGGGTGCTCGCACCCCCAGGCACCCGTGCTGTGCCACGAGCTGAGGCAGGAGCTCTTGGGGGTTCCTTTGTGTTCATGCAGTGCCCGCTGCAGTGGGTTAATGGGCAGGACTCTGAGGCACTTGGCTGAAATGCTTGGGTAGGAATCAAAGAAAGAACTCGGCCCTCTTCCTGCAAAGAGGAGTCTGCTGCAGGGAATGCCAGCTTGGGTAGTTATATGTGCACCAAAGCATCCACAAGGAGGTGGCTCCTTCACCCCTGTGAGGCTCTGTGACAGCCAGATGGTCCACCTGGTGGGATGGGGTGTAGCAAGCTGGCTCCAGGTCCCCTGCACCACTGTGCAGACAAGCCTGGGTATGTCCCACCACATCTGCTCTGATCTCACCACTGTTCCCCATGGTGTGATGCTCCAGCAGGACCCACAGCATCACAGAATCACAGGATCTTAGAGGTTGGGAGGGACCTGGAAAGCTCCCCCAGCCCAACCCCCCTGCCAGAGCAGGGGCACCCAGAGCACATCACACAGGAACGTGGCCAGGGGGGTTGGAATGTCTCCAGAGAAGGAGACTCCACAGCCTCTCTGGGCAGCCTGGCCCAGGGCTCTGGCACTCTCACACCAAAGAAGTTCTTCCTGAGATTCACAGGGAACCTCCTGGGCTCCAGTTTGCACCCACTGCCCCTTGTCCTGTCACTGGACATCACTGCACAAAGCCTGGCTCTGTCCTCCTGACACTGCCCTGAACAGATTTGTGCCCATGGATGAGGTGGCCCCTCAGTCTCCTCTTCTCCAAGCCCAACAGCCCCAGCTCCCTCAGCCTTTCCTCAGCAGGGAGATGTTCCCCTCCCTCCAGCATCTCTGTGGCTCTGCCCTGGGCTCTTCCCAGCAGTTCCCTGTCCTTCTGGAACTGAGGGGCCCAGAACTGGACACAATACTCCAGATGCAGCCTCACAGACCCCATGCTCTGCAGGCTCCTTGTGCTGCCTGGAGAGGAACCACGTCCATCACTGAGCATCCCAGCATGGGAAAGGGGGTGCAGAGACCATGGTGGGGGCAGAGAGGGTCTTGCAAAGGTGATCCCCTCCCTGCAGCCTGCCTGCCCAGGTCACTGAGATCACGGTGAGCAGGGAACTCCCCAGCCCAGGCTCCTGCTGAGCGAATTACCCAGGGAAAACAGGCAGAAAATCTTCAGATTAACAATAACAAATAAAAATGGATTTGAGAGCTCCGAGGTGATTACTCCGTGCTGAGGGCAAGGGGCCTCTTAGTGGTGAGAGCCATGCCATGTGGGGAGTGCAGGGGCTCAGCCCTCAGCCTGCTGTTGGGCCAGTGGAGTGACACAAGAAACCCTGGAAGTCCTTTCCAATTGTTCTGCTAACATTAATAAATGCCTCAAAAGCTCCTAATCTGCTCTGGCAGTAGCGTGACGCCCGGGTGTTTCACAGCCAGCTCACGTCTCTGCTTCCCCCTCTTCTTTCCCTGCCTGGAAATATTCAATGCAAGTGGCCCCCATTCCCCATTCCAGTCCTCTGCAGGGACTGGAGCTGCTGTCCCAATGGGACCCTCCACAACAAGCTGGTGCTTTGCACCAAGACCAGCACCCTCCAGAGCCTGGGGACTGGCTGAGACCCAGGGCTGTGGCAGGGATGCTGCTGCACGTTGCCTTGAGCTGTGGTTTGGGGCTGTGGGGAAGGGCAGGCAGAACAAGCACAGCACCCAGCATGGCCTTGACCTTGCTGGGTCCTGCAGGGCAAAGAGAACTGGGGAACACTGGGGGTCCCTGAGTGCTGCTGAGGGGGGGCACACAGGATGCCTAGACACACTGCCAAGCTGTCAGCCCTCTGGAGCTGTACCCTGGAGCTGGAGCTGCAAGCAAGTTGGGGGGGGGGTCTGCAGGAAGCTCCCAGGCTCTCTGCTGCCTGATGCTGTGGGGTCTGGGTGTGGGACCCAGAGGCAGCACCTGACACTTGAGGTGCTCACCCTGTGCAGGCAGCAGGGCTGCAGCATCACCCTTCCTGCTGCTGATCCGGGCAGGTCTGTAGGCACTGCACAGGGGGCTGGAGCACAGGTCTTAGGAGGGGTGGATGAGGGAGCTGGGGGTGTCCAGCCTGGAGACAAGGAGGTGAGGGGAGACCTGCTGGCTCTGCAGCTGCTGAGAGGAGGTTGGAGCCAGGGGGGTCGGGCTCTGCTCCCCAGGAACAAGGGATGGGACAAGAGGAAATGGCCTCAAGTTGTGCCAGGGAAGGTGGAGGATGGATCTGGGGAACAATTTATTCCTGGCAAGGGTTGTCAGGGCCTGGCCCAGGCTGCCCAGGGCAGGGGGGGAGTCCCCATCCCTGGAGGGGTTTAAAAGCCACGTAGATGTGCTGCTATGGGACATGGTTTAGTGGTGGGCTTGGGGTTAATGGTTGGACTTTATGATCTTAAGGGTCTTCTCTGTGATTTTATGATTCTAAGTTTCCATGGGAAGCTCCTGAGCATGTTCAAAGGCATCCTTGCCTCTCCCCCTGAAGAAGCTGCTCCCCTCTCCTTGCAGCTTTACCCGTGTCTCATTAAGCTGGGCTCCTGGTGGTGCCAGGGCTTTTGAAGGGTTGGCTTTGAAGGCCTCCTCCTGCAGCCTGTCCCCCACGGTCTGGCCTCTCCAGTGGGGTGTCAGCCAGAACCACGGGGGGGTCACTTTGTGCTGGAGCCAGGCATGGAGTTGTGCAATTACAGTGGCTGTGGGGGTGCAGACTTCAAACCAGTGATGCTGGGAGGGATGGGAGCCTAAAGGGCTCTCTGAAGCCTCTGGAGGAGAAGTGTCCAAGTGAAGCACAATGCTCCAAGTGCATCGGTGTTGTGGAGGGTGGAACTGGTGGACAACCTGATGACTTTTGTTTTGCCAGATGCTCCTCCCTTGATTTGCATCCTCTCTGACCTGTTCTGCATCCCCTCAGCCCTGCTGGCTGCAGCCTGCTCTCCTCCCAAAGGACACATTGCTCCCAGCACCCCCAGGTCCCCCCAGCTCTACCCCAAATCAAGAGCTTGGGGGACAATCAAATGAGTGAGGTCGTTTGTGGTGGCTCAGCTCTTTGCCCCTCTGGGCTGGAGACAAAGCTTTCTAATGCAGGGTTTTTCTGCTGTGTTTTCCAGTGAACTTGCTAGACACGTCCACAATTCCAGGGGACTGGGGCTGGATGACTTATCCCTCCCATGGGGTAAGTATGAAGCAGCTGCTGGCACATGATGGACCCCACTGAGGTGGGTCACCATGGATTTTCATGGGCAGGGTAAATGGACATCTCAGCCCCAGGTTGGTGCCTTGGTCAGTGCAAATGGGGCTAAGTGACCATGTCTGTTGGAAAATGCCAGCCTGAAAGACTAGCAGGGTTTCTTTATCCCTCTTGTGTCCCTTGGTAGGGAGCAGGTTGTCACCAGGTCCTGAGCTGGGTCACCTCATGGGCACCCACACCAAGAAGCACCTCATTCCTTGCTGCAGGAGGAGCAGACCCTGCAGATGTACCCATCTTAGATGTACCCTGTAGATTCTTACAGGCCTTGCTGCAGGAGGAGCAGACCCTGCAGATGGGTAGATTCTTACAGAGAATGGGGGTGTAAATGCCCAGCCCTGTGATGTGTCCAGTGTGAATGGGAACCCCCTCTGTGATCCTGACATCTCCACTGCCTGGATCCTCTCCACACCCTCCCTTCATTTGCATTTCTGTGTCCAGGTTTTCCTGCTGCAGCAGCTTTCTGGGAGTTGTGGCTTCGAGCTGGTAGTGGTGACCTGCTCTGGGGATTTTGCTCCTTCCTTCAGTGAACAGAAACAATCCCATAAACACACACAGGACCAACTGCAGGGCACAGTGGGGCTTGCTGCAAGCACAGAACGTGCACAATTGGGGTGTCTACCTGACTTTCCCTGCTGTGTTGATTTTCCATGTCCACTCTTTTTCATCCCCTCTCTGAACTAAATGGTCTTAATCTTTTCAATTCCACCTCCTACAGGAATCTTCCCAGGCCTCTAATCATTTTCATTGATCTGTTGCTGGAGCCTTTCAGTCCCTGTGCTGTTTGAGCAGGAGCAAGCAGAACTGTGAATTCAGAATAATAACAATGATCAGATTTATATCAGACATTAGCATATATGTAAATATATTACACCAGCAACTCAGCTCTAATTGGAGCAGTTAGCTGTTGCAATGATGACTATCCTGGAAATGTAGTAGCTGCAGAGGTACAAGGTCAGAGGGGACTGTGGAGCTAATGTGATGTGATCTCCTGCATAAATACAGGCCTTCAGACCTGTCAATTCCCTCACATCTCAGAGAAGCCCAGCTTGTGGAATAAAAAACAACCCATCCTTGACTACAAAATTGCTGCTGGTGGTAAATCCTCCAGGTCCTGCAGTGAGGTTGTTAGCAGGTCACTGTTAAAAACCCACTGGTGGGTGGGTTTGCCTGGTTTCAGTTTCCAGCCACCAGACCCTCTGCTGCTGTTGGCTGGGTGAGGGGGATGGTGTCTGTGGTGTCCTCTGCATGGTCATGCACTGGCTGCCCTCCGTGGGGTGGTTCTGCTGCCATTTCATCCCAGCCCTGCTGCCAAATCCTGGCATCCTGGGGGTCCCCATGCACGTTGAGGGGATCAGGGACCATGGCTTCCTCTGCTTTTCCCTGGAAGGAGGATGTTTCTGGGATGTTTCTTGCAGTGGGGGCTGGTTTCTGTTGGCCACTTCCCCTGCTCTGCCCTTCACCCCATCCTAAGCAGTTCCTGCCCATAGTCAGGTAACCAATGCTCCAGACTGCCCAGGACCTTCCTTCTTCTGGGTTTTCCACCATGAGTCCAGGTCCCAGATGCCAGTGTGACTGCCTCCCCATTGCCACTTGCCAGCCAGATACACCACATCACTGAGGTGACTTGGATGAAGATTAATCCAGCTGAGCTGCCTGTCCTGGGGACAGGTGGGCATGACAGAGCAGGACCAGGAACTCTTAAAGCAGAAAAGGGACTGAGCCTTCAGGTGCCTCTTTCTCACCACATCAGGGATTCTCATGACTAGTTAAGGTGCAGCATCCTGTGCTGGACATCTGCACATCCAGATAATAGCTAATCCTGGATGCCAAAAAAAGAAAAAGGAAAACAGCTGGTATCATAGAATCCTTGAATGGTTTGGGTTGGAAGAGACCTTAAAGACCATCTAGTTCCAACCCCCCCACACGGGCAGGGCCACCTCCCACGAGATCAGGTTGCTCAAGGCCCCATCCCCTTGTATGAAGATGACCAGAATGAAGATGAAGATGACCATGTATGAAGACCAGAGCCACCCCTTGGACACACTGCTGTGTCCTGGGTATGTCATGATGTCTCACCACACTTGGCTTATCCTGGGGTTTTGCCCAGCTCATGGCCCTGTTACCAGGAGGACAGCCACATGGCTGCATGACAACTCTCTGGAACACCTTTGAGGACGGTGCCTGGGTTTCAATGTGATGTTCTTGACATTCTTTGATGTACCTGACATATCTTTTTCCAGCTGGATGTTTCAGTGGGTCCTCTGAACACATCTGGACTGTGGCTCTTCCTCCATGGGCCATCACATCACATCATCCTGAAAGAGCATCTCATGCCTTTACCCTCCTGCTGGTCCTGCAGCTTGATGTGCTCTTTGAGTAGCAAATTTGCACTTGGATTCAGTTGCCATCACTGGAAAAGAGGGAGGACAGGGTGTGCTGGTGTCTCAGAGAAGCTTCAGTAGGACACTCATTCTCAGTGCCAATGAGTTGGCTCTGAGCAGCTGCCTCCTGAGCAGCCTCTACAGCAGGGTTTGAGCTCTGGTGAGAGAGGTGCCAGGTGACTCACAGCTTGGGTCCACATGGCTCCAAGCCTGGCTTGATCTCTGCTCTGGGAAAGGGACTGAGAACTGCTGGTGTACCTGCCCTGTGCTGGGCTGTGACCCTGGCAGCCCTGGGGTAGAGCCCAGTTGCTGGTGCAGTGTGGGGCTGGTGCTCTCACACATATTTTCTTTCAGATCCCTTAGTTTTTGCTTCCATTTCCTTAGCTCAGACACTCCTGGTGTGCAAAAAGCAGCAGTGTCAGCCCCTGCCCTGCCCTGCCTGAGCTGTGGGTGCAGCACGTCCTGGATCCCAGGGTGCAGGATTCCCCTGCAGTATCTCTGCTCTGCCCATCACAGCATCTTCCTACCAAGGGATGGTGATGCTGACCCTGGCTCCCCAGCAGAAGTCACACTTGGGTTTGCTTTATCCACATTTCCATTCCTCTAGGAACCCAGGGCCACCTCGTGGGTGACAGCAGAGAGGTGGGTGGCTCTGGCTGGGTCTTTGCACAGCTCTCAACAGCACAGAGCCCCAGCCTGAAGAGCTTAAGGAGGGGGCTTGTGTCAACTAGCTCAGCCTCTGGTGCCCTGCAGCTTGCTTCTCCAGGATTTGCAGGTCCTGTCCCACCTCTCTGGGTCTCCTGGGGGTACCAGCAGAAAGGTGACAGTCTCAGAGGTTTCCCTTTCTGCACTGGGAGGTTGCAGAGCTGCCTGCACTGCCAAGGGAGCACTCCCAAGCATCCAACATTGCAAAACTGGAGAGGTACCTCTGGCCAAGGCCTGATGTTCTCATCACACCCGTGGACAAGGTGAATTTGCCTTGCAGGAAGGGGTTTTTTCCCCCCTCTCTGGGTTTGCTGTGACCAGCAGGAGCAGAGGAGCAGGAGCGACGGGCAGGGTGGGAACCAGCGGCACAACCAGCCCTGGGGAGTGCTGAGCCATCAGGGAGGCAAGCATGGCCTGTTTTGACATTTCCTCTTGCCAGATAATTAACTGAGGGGTAATTGGCTGTAATTGCCGCTCAGGGGTTTAATTGCCTTCCCCCCCTTCACCTCCACCCTGGAGACACGTGCAGGAAGCAGCAGGGTCAGGGAGCATCCCTGTCCCACAGGCAGCGGCTCCTCTCAATTAGAACTTCAAAGAGCTCCCGGGAGCTTTGCAGGCTCCTCCAGCCCCACAACAATTCCCTTGGCATTGAAAATTCAACTCTTATCAGCGCTGTCAAAGAGGCTGCCCCTTTCCCTTCCGTGCCTCTGCTTTCCCAGCTCTCCCCAGCAGAACGTCCCAGTGCCCTTCTGTTCCCTCTCCTTGCTGGGCACGTGTCCTGCTGGATCAGAGGGAGCTTGACTGGCCCCTTTGCAAATTGCTTTTTCCTAGTGACTAATTAAAACGCTGATGAGATAAGTCAATATATTATTAATAATTATGGTATCGTCTCCTTTGATTTATGAAGTCAAACAGGAAATGATTTTGTCCAGACACAGGGTACCCAAGGAGCTTGAATGATGCCTTGCAAAAGCCAGTGATGATTGAAGCACCTCAAGTGCAGGAGGAAGGCCCCCCCATGCTGCCCACAACCTGCCCATCTGCCCCCAGCAGCACCTCTGTGGCCTGGTCCCACAGCATCCCCCCCTGGCATGGGTTGGGGTCACCCCAGAGGTGGCACTTGCCACCCAGTGCCCAGCATACTCCCGGCTGGCCTTGCTGGTGGGAGCACCAGGAAAGACCTTTGGAGGTGGTTTGGTACCTCTTCTGAGCAACCTGGGCTGGTGGGAGGTGTCCCTGCCCATGAAGGGGGGTTGGAACTAGGTGGTCTTTAAGGTCCCTTCCAACCCAAACCATCCCATGATGATGGGATGATCCCATCATCCCTGTGATCTCTGCCCTTGCACTGGTGAAGGGAGGTGTCCTGAGGCCCTTGGGCACAACGAGCCAAGGGTGCTCTTCCCTCCTTCTGCAGTAGTTCAGGGAGAAAAGGGGCAAAACAGCCAGCTTGAACAGCCAGCTGAGAGCATGGCCAACACATCTGCCCACAGGAGGGTCCCTCAGCAGTGGCTGCACATCAGAGAGGAGCATTTTATGCTGCCCCAGCACTGAACTGTTTGCAGGGCAAAGCTGACACAGCAGATAACTTCTTCTGCCTGGCTCTGGTCCTGCAACCAGGCCAGATCATTGCTTGGATGAACCTCTGACACAACAGCTCTGTCATGGAGCAGGGTGTCCCTCTGCCCCAAGCCCACCCTACAAAAAGCCTGTCCCCAGTCCAAGCTGGGCTGTGTGCTTGAAGTTGCAACCCCCACCAGGACCATGTCTTTCTCCTTGGAGCATGAAAAGATACTGGAGCTCTCTCATCTGCCCAGGCCATGTCTTCTGCTCTCCTTCACTTGAAAGTCCTTGTGCCATTTTTTGGGCTTCTCTTCCAATCTGGAGCCTCTGCCTGGATCCAGGAATAGCAGCAAGTTACAGGGCAAGCTGCAGTGAAATTAATTTTCTTGGGGAAAAATTAAAAAAAAAGAAAAAGCTATTTAGGAATTGAACATTGGAAAATAAAAATTTAGACTAGTAATTGAGATAAAAGCTTCTGCCAGTGCTTGTTCAGAAAATGCTGGGTTACTTCTAATTCCCCAGATGCTGGTCACTACCAGGAATTAATCACCTGTAGTGAAGCTCAGGGTAGTCAACTGCCTGACAAATCCCTCCTTAGCTACAGCTGTGACTGATTTCATGGGGATTATCCCCATTAAAAGCTCCCATCTAATGATGTAAGAATGCAAAGCAGCCTCCTCTGTTTCCCTCTCAGTGCTAGTGGTGCAAGGGAGCCAGCAGCTCCTGGGGAGGAGCTCAGGGCTCCTCATGGGAGGAAGGAAGGTGCTGGATGTCCCAGCAGAAGCAAAAGCTTTGCAGTGCTGGGCAGACCCCAGAAGCTGGGGAGACCTCATCTCTTGGCTCCCTCCATGGCCACTGTGAGGGTGGTGGGAGGCTGAGCTGCTGCTCCAGCAGCATGTGGCTTCTCCTGGTGTATTCACCCCCTCTGCTCCTCCTCCTCCTCACTCTGCTGCTTGGGCAGGCCCTGGGAAACTTCTGAGCCCCTGCTCAGCCACGCAGATATCTGGTGTTTGCATCTTTTGCCTTTCATAATCTGTCAACCCTTCCCTCCTTCCTCCCTTCCCTTCCTCCATCCCTCCCTTAAATTTAAACTCTTGGGCCAACCCCTGAATACAGATGCAATCCTGTCCCCCCCCCCAGCACGTGCACTCCCCACCTTAATTAAGATGTCCTCATTTCCATCTCACTGGGGGGTCTTATCACAATGATGGGGGCTGGGCTGAGCTTCATTTCATAAAAGCCACTTCCAGGCATCAGCTGGGCACAGGCAGTGCCAGGGGTCTGGTGGTCCCTGTGCTCTGACCCAGTGGTTCCCAGCCCCACAGCCACCCCTGGGCTCCTCTCCCTGCCCATAAGGGCTTGTCATTAGGGTGAAACAGGAAGAACCCTTCAAGTCATGGGGACTCCTGGAGTGGGTCCCTCCCTCCCGAATGCCCAGCAGGTTCTGGGACCTGGCAGAGCTCGTGGGACCTGTATTGCCTTGTGGCACACTGGGAGGATGGTGGCCCAGCTTCCCTCCACACCTTCCCACTGCTGGCAGAGCATTTCTCCTGCAGTGGTACCAACAAGGTGCTTTGGACCATCCTGTGATGCTGCACGTGACCCTGGGGAAGAGCTGACAGCCCAACTGCTGCACAAAATAAAAGGGAAAAAAAAAAAAGGGTTGGAAGAAGGATGCTGGAAATGTAAAACCTCCAGGTTCTCCCCCACACTTGGTGCTGACCACCACTGCTGCTTGGAGCTGGACATCTCAGTGATGACACTGCCAGTAGCACCACAAGCTGTGGGGACACTGTGGTGACAAATGCTCTCTCCTCTGCCAGACTGAGAAGTGAATGTCTGCAGACCCAAAGGAGCCACACTTGCTGGAGGCCATGGAATTTTGTGTCCCCCCCCCAAAAAATAACCTCACGTTTCCCTTGCTGGGAAAGTTGTGGAGACCCCCCAAGGCTGCCAGGCATTGCAGAGGGGACCTGGCTGTGCATGTGGGGAGCATCCCTACTGCCACCCCCAGCTCTGCCTGGCTCCCCCCAGGAACCCAGCAGGGAAAAGGCAGGAAACAGATGCTGTGCTAATTTGTGCTCCATTAATTGTGACAACGATTTCCTCACCCTCAGCAGTGCAGGATGGGGGGTGGAGGTGGGTGCAGGAGCAGGGGCTGGTTCTGCTCTGCCTGCTGCTGCAGCCACTCCAGGGCATTCCTATACCTTTGGCTGTGGGACAGGAGGGGACACTGGGTGTCACGGCCCCTTCTGCAGCCTCATCTCTGCAGCTGGGGGTGCTGGGGCACAGCAAGAGGGGCACAGCTCACCCTTCCAGAGGAGCACAGGGGGGAGCAGCCTGGCCACTTGCCCTGGTGCAGGGCAGGTCCTCGGTGATCTTCAGACCTAAGGTGACAATGAGATTTCTCTCCTGGCAGTGACTTGGCTTCCACACCCTTTTGCCAGCACGTTCCCTCCCCTCTGAAAGAGCTTTTGTTGCAGCCTGCACCTGGAGCTCTTTAGGACAGAAGAGCAGAGTTTTCAAAAGACAAGATGCTGGGGGAGTTTTGAGGATGTACATGATCTCAGTGACTGCCCTGATCACCCCAGCACCAGCAGAAGGCACAGCAACATCTCCTCCCCAGGAGCTGCAGGTCGAGGAAGTTAAATGAGGAAGGGCTTTCCCATCTGAGAGGAAAGAAAGGCACAGACTGTTTTACAGGGATCCCTGAGAACCTCTTCCCAGTATCTCAAGCTGTGGAGGTGTGATGACCTCCTCCAGCTGTGTCCTGTCCCTTGGGGCTGGCAGCCCCATCGCCAGGCAGTGGGGTGCTTGTCCCAGCAGATCTGTGTCCCCTCCAGCTCCCACAGACACTGGGGTGAAGCCTCCACACTCACACCCCTCCCAGCATCTGGGCTTCTGTTCCTTTTGTGTCTGTAAGGAACACGGGTCACCACTCCCAAAAGAAAACACCACGTTTACCCAAGTCAGAGCAAGCCCAGAGGTTTGTTTTAACGCACTCGAGATGCTGCTCAAAAGGTTTGTTTTCCTGCTGGAGCTTTGCTTGTTGCCCCAGCCCCCCAGGGAGCAGACGGGCACACACAGTGTGAGGTGGGGGCTGCTCCCCAGCAGAGCTGGCAGCCCAGGAAGGTGCAGGCAGGGGGTATTGGGGGTGATGGTTTGGTGGGCAGAGCAACCAGGGCTGTACCAGTGCTGTCCCCAGCTTCTGCTGGGCTGTGCCTGCAGCTGCCCCTCACAGCAGGACTCAGGCGTGGTGGTGGGACACAGACACCTTCAAATCCTGTTGCTAAGCCCACAAAAAAATCAGGTTTGAAGTCCTCTTCCTGTTCCTCCTCCTCCCATAAGGGGAATTCCAAGATCCCAGATACATCCACGGGAGATGTGACTGGGGTGCCTGGTTTGGACAGGGCTGTGAGCTGAAGAGGTTGTAGGAATCCCATAGAGAAGGGAAGATCTCTGGGTCCTGGTGAGGGTTTGGTGGAGTTGGAGAGGGTAGAGAGGGAGATGTGTGAGGCAAAAGCAAGACCCAAGAAGTGTCCTGTAGCCCCCAGCTACTAAGTTCAACTTGTGCCTCAGCTGTGGGCCTCATTTGTCTCCAAAATCTCACTACTTCTCATGGTTCAAAACCACTCAGCCCTCCCTTGGGTGACATAAAGGGCCCTGTCCCACCAAACTCATTCATGCCACCCCTCCACCACCATCCTGCTTTGCTGCCACCTGCTTTTGCCCAACATCTCCTCCCCAAGCTCAGCCTGCTGCCACTTTGAATTTGAATCCTGGAGCTGTCAAGCTCTAAGGCCCTGGGTTCCCTGAGCTGCCCCCCAGCCCAGCCTCTCATCTGGGCTGAGCATTGGAACGGGTTGTCCAGGGAGGTTGGTGATGCCCCATCCCTGGAGGTTTTTAAGGCCAGGTTGGATGAGGTTTTCTGCAACCTGCTCTAGTGGTTCCCTGCTCATGGCAGGGGGGTTGGAAACTGATGATCTTTAAGGTCCCTTCCAACCTTGATGCTTCAATTATTCTAGGACTGTGGGGTCCCACTGACTCCACCTTGCCTGGGAGGCAGGGGGTTCTAAGCCCCAGGGACCCCTGTTTCTTCCTGGAAGTCCTGTGTTTGCCGCACCCTTCCCCTTCACCTTGTGTTAGGCACCCCAAAAATCATCCTCCAGCTGGAAAGCTGCCCCTTGGGATTGTGCGTGGACGTTGCATGAGCCAGGAGGGGCCCAGGTGAGCACCAGGCAGGTGCCTCCCTGCTGCTGCTGGGCCTGGCAGGTTGGGCACCAAGCAAAGGGACTTGCAGACATGGGGTGGAGTCACCATCCCTGGAAGTGTTGAGAAGAAATGTAGATGTGGTGCTGAGGGACATGATTTAAGCACTGAACGGGTAGATGAGGTTATGGTTGGTGGGTTTAGGTTATGGTTGGTGGTTTTAGGTTCTGGTTGGACCTGATGATCTTCAAGGTCCCTTCCAACCAGGATGATTCTGTGATTCTGTGACATGTCCTGGAGGGTTTGGAGCCCTCCCACGTGCACGCTGCCATCAGGTCCCTCCATCTGATCAGACTGGTGCAAGCATCCCTGTCTGCACACAGGGGTGCACCTCACCCAGCCCCACACCGGGGTGAGAGTCACCCCAAGGATTAGTGCTGGGTGAAGTCAGCTCATCCTCATTCTCCAGCCATGATCTCTCCTCCAGACTGTGGCTGCAGGAGCAGAGGGAGGCTCAGGGGGAGCCTGGGGACACCTGGGTGACCCGCTCTCTCTCTCTCTCTGCCCCACAGTGGGATTCCATCAATGAAATGGATGAGTTTTTCAGCCCCATCCACACCTACCAGGTCTGCAACGTCATGACCCCCAACCAGAACAACTGGCTACGAACCAACTGGGTCCGACGGGACGGGGCGCGGAGGGTCTACGCGGAGATCAAGTTCACCCTGAGGGACTGCAACAGCATGCCCGGCGTGCTGGGCACCTGCAAGGAGACCTTCAACCTCTACTACCTGGAGTCCGACCGCGACCTGGGCGCCAGCACCCGGGAGAGCCAGTTCCTGAAGATCGACACCATCGCGGCCGACGAGAGCTTCACCGGGGCAGACCTGGGGGTGAGGCGCCTCAAGCTGAACACCGAGGTGAGGGGAGTGGGGCCACTGAGCAAGAGGGGCTTCTACTTGGCCTTCCAGGACATCGGCGCCTGCATCGCCATCGTCTCGGTGAGGGTTTACTACAAGAAGTGCCCGGCCACGGTGAGGAATTTGGCTTCTTTCTCCGAGGCCGTGACCGGAGCTGACTCGTCCTCCTTGGTGGAAGTGAGAGGGGAGTGCGTGGGGCACTCAGAGGAGAGGGACACCCCCAAGATGTACTGCAGTGCCGAGGGAGAGTGGCTGGTGCCCATCGGGAAGTGCGTGTGCAGCGCCGGCTACGAGGAGCAGCGGGATTCCTGCACGGGTGAGTCCCTGAGCTGGGGCCTGCTGGTGCTTGGCTCCTCGGGGAAGGGCTGAGGACAGATGGCTGCTTTTTTATTTCAACAAGGTCAATGCAACCATGTCACCAGCTGGACTGGTCCTGTGGAGTGTATAGCACTGCTTTGCAACCCCTGCTGGGAGGTGCAGAAGGGATTTTCCTCTGTGGAGCCCCAGTTTCCTTCACTTCTGCTTCAGCTGGTCAAAAGCAATGTAATATTTAGCCCCAGAATTTATCTTTAAAATCACTTTTAATAGGAGAAGCAGGGCAATAGTTCATAGCAGTGTATATTTATATAAAACTGGTTCTTATGGGCTTTGGGGTTGTCAGGGCCACGATGATGGAGGGAGGGGAACATCTCCCTGCTGAGGAAAGGCTGAGGGAGCTGGGGCTGTTGGGCTTGGAGAAGAGGAGACTGAGGGGCCACCTCATCCATGGGCACAAATCTGTTCAGGGCAGTGTCAGGAGGACAGAGCCAGGCTTTGTGCAGTGATGTCCAGTGACAGGACAAGGGGCACTGGGTGCAAACTGGAGCCCAGGATGTTCCCTGTGAATCTCAGGAAGAACTTCTTTGGTGTGAGAGTGCCAGAGCCCTGGGCCAGGCTGCCCAGAGAGGCTGTGGAGTCTCCTTCTCTGGAGACATTCCAACCCCCCTGGCCACGTTCCTGTGTGATGTGCTCTGGGTGCCCCTGCTCTGGCAGGGGGGTTGGGCTGGGGGAGCTTTCCAGGTCCCTCCCAACCCCTGGGATTCTATGATGATTCAAAAAACTTGGACAGCCAACATCCATGGAGGCCAAGGGCTGCCTGAGCCTTCACTGGGTGGCTTTACGCTTCCAAACTGTGTTGCCAGTACCACTGACAACCTCCTTGGGAGCTCCCGTGAGCCTGACAACGGCAGCTCCTGGTGTGCAGGGCACAGCTTTGGGACAGAGACTGGGGGATGGTGTCAGGAGAGGAACGTGGCTCAGACATCCCACCCTGCTGCCCCCAGCAGCTCCGGTCGGTGCTGAGCTCTCTGTGAGTTTTGGCCCTTCCCAAACACCTGCCATTCACTCCCATTCAGCAGGGGGGTTGGAAAGCAAAAAGTAAACCACTTAAAATGTAAGAATCAAGGTGACTGTGCCCACCCATCAGCCCTGCCAGGGGCTGCCCAGGGTGTGGAGAGCCCTCCCTGGGTGCTGCTGGGCTCGCCTCGAGCTGCCAACTGTGCAAACTGTGATAAGGAGAGGGGTGGGTGAGGAGCAGCCCTGCAGCAGGCACAGGGATGTGTGAAGGGAGCCTGGTGCCCCCTGAGAGGCCTCCAGACAGATCTGTGTGCTCTGGGTTTCTTTCTGGGACGTGTTGAGGGGAAGGACAAAGGAGAGTTCGGGGTCTTTGTTTGAGTTCTGTGAAAATGTCAAGTGGATCTTTCCTCTTACGGACGTTTGACACAAGGTTAGGATGCCCAGTGTGGGACTGGAATGGATCCAGGTGCCACTGGGAGCCGTGCCAGTCCCCAGGTGTGCAGAGGGGGAAAGAATGGGCAGAGTAAATGCTTCTATCTGGGACTCCTCCTGCCTGCAGCCATTGACTTGAAAGTCATCCTGGGATCGATCTGGTAACTCAGGAACTGTCTTCTCCCTCATTAAAAAGTGGGTGCAAAGCAGGGGGGGCCACATGCATGGGCCATCTGGATGGTGTGGGCCCAGCCCCACAGCTGGAACAAGACACAAGTTGGAGGTTTGGTTCAGAAGAGCCAAACACCCCTTCCCTGGATTCCTCTCCTGCCAACCTGTGACCACACGAGATCACAACCTGAAAGCCTGGAGGCACAGAGAAGCCCCAGGGGCCATGTTCTGCTCAGCCCACCCCATTTTCCTGGGTTACCTTGGACATGTTTGTCTCTCTCCAGGGAGCAAAGCTGTGGGAGAGGATCTAGGACTCATGGAAGGGGTTTGGGTTGGGAGGGACCTTAAAGATCATCCAGTTCCACTGGATGATGGGCAGGGACACCTCCCACCAGCCCAGGCTGCTCCAAGCCCCATCCAACCTGCCCTTCAACACTGCCAGGGATGGGGCAGCCACAGCTGCCCTCTTTCAACTCGAAAGGATTCCCCTCATCCCATCCCTCCCTGCCCTTGTCCCAAGCCCCTCCCCAGCTTTCCTGGAGCCCCTTCAGGCACTGGAAGCTGCTCTAAGGTCTCCCTGGAGCCTTCTCTTCTCCAGGCTCAACACCCCAACTCTCCCAGCCTGGCTCCAGAGCAGAGCTGCTCCAGCTCTTGGATCATCTCTGTGGCCTCCTCTGGACTCCAACAGCTCCATGTCCTTCCTGTGCTGGGGACCCCTGAACTGTCCCCAGCCCTGCAGGGGGGTCTCACCAGAGCAGAGGGGGACAATTCCCTCCCTGACCCTGCTGGTGATGCTGCTGGGGATGCAGCTCAGGACACAGTTGGCTTTCTGGGCTCCAGCACACAAGCTGCAAGAGCTGCTTCTCTGCTCTCCTGCCCTTTCCTGGAGGAATTGTCCCCACCCACAGCTGTGGCACAGGAGGAGGTGCCAGCCTGCCTCCCTGGATGCTGTGGAGACAGGCAGAAGCTGACCCACCTCCCACCAGATGGGGTCAAACCCCTGCTGCTTAACCAGGGGTTGAAGCTCTCCAGGGGTTTTGGCATCAGAAACAGGACAGAAACATCACTGGACTTTCTCCAGCTGGACTGTCTCACCCTCCTGCCTTCCCTGTCCCAGTTGTCCTCAGCAGCTCCTACCACAGGCAGTTTGACAGCCCAGGATGAACCAAGACAGGCACCAGCTCCTTCCTGGCACCTCCTTCCATGGGTGTGGAGCCACAGTTCAGCTGTTTACACACAAAAGCAAACAGATTCAAATCTCCTATCTAAGCTTCTCCTGCTTGACTGGGGCAGAGTTCATTTTTCACAGGGAAAAGTGCCTTTCTGCAATGATTTATAACCCCAGCAGATCTGTGGGGAGTTGGAAATTAGCTGTTTTAATTGTCAAATGGACAAAAGCAGGATTCCTGTGGCTGTCACCCTGGCAATTTTTCATTCTCCATCACAGGGTGATATAAATCACTTCTTGTGGCCCTAATAATTTTTCTATAAATATCAGAGAAATTCTTATTTTTTTTTGCTTTGGGGAGGAAAAAAAATATAAGAGAGAAGATTCTTTGCCTCTATGGCAATGTTTAAAATGTGATTCCAAATTAATTTATTTTTGCCTTTCCCAGCTGGATGCTTTATTTGTCAAAGCTAAAGATGTTTGAACAGTGGAGGTTTCTCCCCCTCCTCTCTAATGTTCATTTTTTTCTAAGGACCTGCCAGAGTGATGGAAGGCAGCTCAGGAAACCAGATCATGGCCAGAGATGTTCCCAGGTCTTTGGAGGAGGTGGAAGGTTGAGCCACAGGGGTGGGGAGGACTGGGTGAGGTGGGATAAGTAGGAAGCTGTGGGACTTTCTGCCTCTCAGCCCCTGGGCTCTGAGCCATCACCTTGAGTGCCCCTTTGATTGGGCAGGTGGGTGCTGGTGGCACCTCTGACCCTGTGCACTTCCTTGAGTTGGACCCACACGTGTCACCTGGTGATGTCCTGGTGTTGGCCATAATGATGTGAGGGGTGTTTTCCCATGGGACTTGGGGGGGGGGGCAAATCTGAATCCAGGAGCACCAGGGTCAGGCCCATGCTAAGGATGCCACCAGCCTGGCATCAGATGTGTCACAGCCCTGCAGCACACAAGCCCTTTGTCCCTTGCATCTGTGCATCCTGCTGCAGCAGGGGGGTTGGACTTGATCTTCAGAGGTCCCTTCCAACCCCTGGGATTCTGTGATTCTGTGATCTGCCTGATCTATCTTCAGAGACCTGCTGGGCACGGGTGCTCTAGTACCTCAGTGGGCAGAACCAGGGTTTGACCATGAACTGTCACAGCTGCTGATGGGGTCCTGGGCTCTGCCAGCTCCTCAAATTCCCAGCTTCTAGTGCCATGGCATCATCTGCCACAGCCCCCCCAAGGATGAAACCCTCCAGGGTCTCTCTCTCTGGCCCTGCTGCCCCACTCTGTTCTCACCTCCAGTTTCAAGGCTCTGAAGGACTTTACCTCCCTCATCCCCCACCATCCCCAGCCTCCAACGTGCTGCTCTGGCCTCCTTGAAACACATCAGCCCTCAGCTGAGTCTTTGACACACAGCTAATAGCAAAGCTAAGAAAGAGCTGAAGTGAAAAGGATCTATCCCAGTGATTTAGCAGGTAGAAGAGAATCAGCAGAACTCACCTGGTTTCTATGCTGCTGCTGTGCAGGACATGAGAGCCATGGCAAGGAGGGCAGGGCAAGGGAAAGGGGAACTCTCACCTGGGGCTGCTGCTGTGGGAATGGAAGGAACCACTGGGAACCTTCTCAGACAGC